GAGTTATATAATCTTAGATAAAATTATTTTAAATCTATATTATAAAAATAACGAAGAGAATCTTATCTTTAAAGTATAAGATATCTATAATATAAAGATTATAATTTATCGACGAGAATTAAAATTACTTATATCGATATAAGTATTAATAAAATAACTATATTTCGATAATTACTATATTAAATTTCTAAAGAATTTTAAGAATTAGATTATATATCTTTTTTTCTTTAAAAAAATCGTATTAGAAAATACTAAGAGTTAATTAAAAGATACTTATTATAAATAATATCTATAAGATAAATAAATATAAGCTTCTTCTACTTATTATATCGACTTAATTATATTTAATTTATTATTTTATATAATCTTCTACTTTCTAATTAAAGAAGAAAAGAAGAATTATATATAAATGCTTTAGTAATATTAAAATATATATATCGAGCTCGATATTTTAAATTTTATTATTAATATTATCGATCGTAAAATAATCTTAGTTAATACTTATTACGTTATTCTTTTAGAGTTAGATTTAAAGTATATATTATATATTTAATATATTAATAAAAACGTTATCGCTAATTATAAGTAATATCTTAAAATAAAGAAGACTTAAAAGAAGTCTTAAATTTATTAAAAATAAGTAATATATATATATATGTAGATAGATTTTAAGAAGAAATAAAAGTCTTTATAAGAGATATATAAAGTATATAACTCTCTACTCTATAATTATTTATTTAATATATAAGTTTAATTATTTAAAAGAAAGTTTATTTAATATTATATTAAATAAGAAATCTTATTACTTTAAAATAACTAGTTTTAAAAGCGAAGATAATTATATTACCTTAAAGCGAGAGCTAAAATTCTTAATTAACGACTTATAGACGATAATTTATAAGATTAATAATCTTTTATTATATTAGCGATTTAAGTATATATTTAATTCTAAAAGTATAAAGATTATTATATCGATTAAGCTATAAAAACTATTATTTCGTAATATTATTACGTATATAATATTATAAACTCTTATAAGAGTTTATAAATAGTATAAAAAGATTAATAACGATTTAGACTCTTATATCGACGTTTTTACTATAATTTTTAATCTATTATTTACTTATAAGATTAAAATAAAAATAGAAATAAACGCTAGAATTATTAAGATTAAAGATATTTACTCTTATTAATACCTCGAAAAATTTATTATATTCTTTATATCGTTATACGTAATATATTTAAAATATTAGAAAATCTAAATTAGTTTATAAACTCTCTAATTATCGTTTATAAACTTACTATTATACGCTTTAAGAATAGATCTTTTAATTTTATAAAATTATATATATATATAAAACTCGTCTTTTAAAACTTTATGCGTTATAAACTATTAGAATTTAAATAAATAGAGAAGTATCTATCTTAGCGAAGTAATAATACTATATTAAATTAAGACGTATAAGATAATCGTAAACGCGAATATAAATATAGACGTAAATATAAATATGAATATAGATGTAATAATATATTAACTATTACTAGTTAGATAATTAAAGAGAAAAAGATTATTATTATTAATATATATTTTAGAATTATAGTTATAAGAGATAGAACTATATAAGAGATAAATAGCGAGATAAGATTATAAGAGATAAGATTATATAAGGCGAATAGCGAGGTAATTAATAGCGAGATAAATATAATATATTAGTCTATATATAGAGTAATGAGATTATATTTAATATCTTTTAGCTATAAAAAGACTAGATAATTAATAGATAGTAAATATTCGAGTATAATAGACGTATTTCTAATAATAATAAGAAAGAGTAGTTAATTAATTAGCTATTACTATAAAAGTATAATTTAAAAATCTTATTATTCGACGATTTAAAATCGTCTAATCTTTTAAACTTTATTAGAAAAGATTTAGAAAGACTTATCTTACTATTATTAAGAGTCTCGATAATATTCTCTAGAAAGCTATATACGAGATTTATACTTCATATAACTAGTAATCGCGCGAAAGTTAATTGAATTTAAGAGGATATATATATATTAAAAGAGAATATATATATATTAAAAGAGAGTGTACGTATATTATAAGCCTTTATAAATTATAAATTAAATAAGAATACTTAGTAAAGCTAATTTAGCTTTATCTCCGACTTTTTATTAGCGCCATTTATAGAAAATTGTAGAGAAACTCTTATACTAGCTTACTCTTATTAATATACTTATACTCTAAAATAATTAGATTAAAAAGAAGATTATAGAGAAGATAAAGAATTTTAATTAATATTATATAGTATTTTATTATAATTACTCTATTATCTCTATAATTAAATACTTCAAATCTTATTTAAATATTTTAATTTCGTCGTTAAATATATAGTCTATAATATTCTATTTAAAATACTTTATCGTAAATCTATTATAGCTACTAATATCGAATATATACTTTAAAAATCCCGCTAATAATTAAAAAGAGTATCTAAAGTAATAGATAAAAGGCTACGACATCGCCTTTATATATAAATATATCTATTATAAAAGATTATAATATTATCGCTCTTATTAATATATAAGTTCTACTAATCGAAAAGATATAATATGATATATAATATTAATCTATTATATTATACTCTAATATAATATAAGATATTAATATTTATATAATCTTATATCTAGTATAGTATGAAATCTTAGCGGGATATACTACGGTATAATATATCTGTGGTATCATGAAATGAAATAATATATGTATGAAATATCCCGTTGAGATTTCTATATTTAGAAGTATAAAGTAGCTATTCTAATCATCATTCTGGTTAACGGCTAATCGTATCTACCCCCATTCGATATACTACCATGGCTGCCACTACCATGGCTGCCACTACCATAACTATCACTCACTATCATCATGGCTGCCACTACCATGACTATTACTCACTATCATAACTATCACTACCATAGCTACTGTCGAAATGTGGCCCCCGCGCATCCCAGCCACCGTGTTCTTCAGCCACCTGATTTTGTACTGTATTTAGGACCTGGCCCCGGAGAGGTTTTGGAGAATCAATCCGTCCGTTCTACACATCACATACCTGATATTTTAACAGCTATCACTACCATAGCTATTACTATTTATTATTCAAATAGTCTACTATTATATGGTAGCTATGATAGTAGTAGTCATGGTAGTGGCAGCCATGGTAGTGGCAGCCATAATAGTGGCAGCCATGGTAGTATATCGAATAGGGGTAGATACGATTAGTCGTTAATTAGAATAATGATTAGAATAGCTACTTTATACTTCTAAATATAGAAATCCCAACGGGATATCCCATACATATATTATTTCATGATATAATATTACAGATATATTATATCGTGGTATATCCCGTTAAGATTTCGAACTCATATTAGAAAAAATGGAATGGTATTCGACCTTATTTATATTATACCCGAATACGATATAATATTACTTAATATGAAATATTCTATGGAATATATTATACCTTTTCGGCTAGTAAATATATCGTCGATATATTAAAATAAATATTTATAGCTATAACTTTAAGTCGCTAATAAGATTTAAATAAAAGTTAGATATATTAATATATAGAGAAATTCTTTCTAAATAATAGTATCGCGTTTAAAGTAAAGACTAGTAATATAGCTATTATATATCTAAATTAGAGATAAAATATTAAAAAAAGTATATATATCTACTAGCTTTAATATTATAAATATTTAATTAAGATAGTAGATAACAATGACTATTATAAGAGTAGCAAGTACGTTCTCTATAATTTTCTATGAATAACGCTAATAAAAAGTCGGAGGCGGAGCTGAATCAGCTTTGCCAAGTATTCTTATTTAATTTGCAATTCATAAATATGTCGATTATTTCAGATACGATATCCGACGACGACCATCTGAATGGGGACGACGAACGTTCAAAGAGTTTCAAGATCCTTTTCACAGCCTCTCTAACAGCTTCTTCTAAAGAGGGTCAATCTCAACCAGCCAAATAATCCCTCATTCTCTACATCCCCCATTCCGAAAGCGCTACCATCCACGCAAACACGCCACCACCCACCCTGAACGCGATAAACACTCAACTTCACTGTACTAGCGCCCGCGTCTGGACCACGAACAGATACGTAGCCGCACACTGTCGACAAGCAATGGAAGAATTCAAGAACGCAGGTGACAAACAACAAGCCAGAGAAGCGCAGTGGAGCACATCAACCACCATACTGGGCCGACTATAGAACTTTTCGCAGACCTCTGAGATATTCCACATAGTGGACGGCTCTGGGATTTGCAGCTAGTGCGTGACATTTTCCTCGCTGCTAATGACCGAAAAGATTTAGAGGTATGATGACGACAAATCTGACCGACGGTGGTTACTAGGGTCTTGCGTGCTGTCAGTTGTATTGATGGGGCAAGCGGGACAGATATCAGACAAGCCCGCACCGCCTTACGAAGACAAGGTCCGGGCGTCTTGGGCTCGGTTGTATGAACGTGCGCAAACGCTATGGGAATGGTGTGAACTTATGAGGACGAGAGTTGGCGGGATCATAGTAGGTGAGCAACCATGTTCCCATAGTGAGATCATAGTTCTGCGTCGCGTGAGGAGAAGAGACTGGCACTGACTATATCAATCGAATCTTGGACAGGAGGAAGCAATTTGGGAGTCTTCTACTATGATGCAGACTCGGACAAGGATAGAGAAATCCAGGGGCGGCGACCGGGGCTCAAGTCGCTCGGACTGATCAACGCGTCAAGTATAATGCTAGATGGTAGCCCATTCGAGGAGGCCTCTTCGTCATGAGATTCGTATATGCATTGAAGTCAGGAAATGGGTCCAATGCGATAAATGAGATGAACTCACTTCGCAAACAAAATCTGAAAAAGCATAACTACTACGTCTGCGCGAAAGTGCAACTGCTACCATGAAGGCATTCAAGAAGACATCGAGACAGTCCTTACGCACTTGCATCCTTTGCTCCGGGCAACTCCCCCAGCCAACTCTCCTCTTTGACCGCAGCATCCCAATTGCTTCTCGGCAACTCAAAAGTCTCCGTGATCCTCGCATACGAGATCCCACCCAACTGAGCAACCGGCCTCAGGACCTTCAGGTCAACATGACTCCTATCCTCATCAATCGCGTCTTCACGGACCCAGAACCTCGTCGCTTCAACAATACCCAAGGCCGCAATACTCATACCCGGTTTAGCGTGATTTTCAAATTCCTTCATATCCGTCAACTTCGCCTCGATCGAGAAGACGGACTCCTGCACTCTCGACGGCGCCACTGTAGCGCTGGGCGCTTGATGCAAGCCTGCCACCGCCCACTCGGATACTCCGTACGGGGCGTCGATGGACGTAGCGTTGACCGCTGGCAACATATTCTCAGAGACGATATTGATAACGCACTCGCCCGTCTCCTTGAGGTTACGATACGTGTCTTTCGAAGGCCCGGGCCGGGACGAGAAGCCGACGATGAACATCGGAGGATCATGGTCGACGACTTGGAAGTAGCTGAAGGGAGCGAGATTGGCGGTCTTCCCATCTGCCGATAGAGTGCTTATGAAGCCGATCGGACGTGGAACGATGCCAGATACGAGGAGTTTGTAATTAGACATCATTGGCCTGCCTTCCGCGAAAGGGTCGATCTCGACATGCTTCTTCTGCAAACTGGCGCCGCCATCGTTGACACCTTGGCCATACCTCCAACTCGGATCCGGTGACTTGGTTACGTCGATTGGTGCGTTGTGATTGAAATCCGGGCGTGTTGCCTCGACTTTCTTGAAGTCGGGGTGCTTCGACACGAAGGTTGTTTTGCTGCCAGCTTTGTGCTCTGAGACAATTGCCTTTCCCGGAGAGATCTCCTCTTTCGGACGGACCCAGGGACTAGATCCCGTTGGGTCAGCATTCAGCTTCGTTCACGTAGAATGTTGACGAAGGGTGCAGCATTACCAACAATGGTCCTCGGGCATTTGCTCCTTCTCAAGCATGATGGGTGCGTAGTTGTGCGATTGCTACTCGGGATACCAGACGTCTCGGTGCTACGACAGAGTGCTCTTTGCGAAGGATTTCGTGGTGAGTATTCGTTCTCACTACCCAGTGGAGATGGACGGTCTTGTCCAGACTTTTGAAGTGCCAGTTAAGGGTCCAATCGTTCTCAGACTGCTGACTCAGAGTATACTAAGAATATGCACAAGGCTTAGTCATGTCCTCCTGCATGTCCATGTGCCTCCTTGAGAGATGCACGCGATAGCGCTATAATTCGGACAATACCATTCGCGGTTCTCACTTCTCCTTGATGTGCTCGCTCATCGACTCTACAACCTTGAGCCTTTCTCGGTACCTACCTGAGCCGTTGTTCTCTTCGCCAGAATTCAATGTTATTGATATCGTCGGAATGGATATTATGTGTGCTCGGCGATTCGATTTCATTGATCAAGGAAAGAAGTCGAACATCTGCATGATGTCCGGTCGATTTGGACTCGCCTATCGTGGCAAGACAAAGTGAACAGAGTGCCAAAATTCAGGTATGTGATGTGTAGATTGCATCAATTGTAGTATCTCAGGACTCCCCTGAGCCAGTATTTGTACCCCATGCAAAATAGGTGGTTGTTCCAACAGGGGGCTGGGAGGGGGCTGGGAACCTTATTTTGACACGTAGCCAGTAAGACCAAAAGCGGGTGACAAAGTCGGCCTACTCGGCTCACAGAGAGCCATGATGGATTCTAGAAGACCACGCCTTTAGGTGGGGTTCCGGTATCCACTGTTGGAAGAACCCTGTCATGTTCAGCTTCGAGGTGAGCATCAGTCAACTCTTAGTCGTATCTTTTTCACCGCAAATTATCACTTGTCGTAGAAGGCATCAAAAGAACATCCCACTGCCACGCCACGGCTTCCTCCTGCGCACTTCTTCTTCCGATGAGGAACAATGGCAAAACAAGTCTCGGGAGTTGGAAAGAAGCGGAAATGCTTCAGATCATAGGCTTGACACAATGCCGCCCATTCTTCAAGCTTTCGTACGCGAAGATTCCTCTTCCTTATGATACATTGTGTATGGTTTGTTGTTATTCCGTGGATGAGTAGTGCTACTTATACTACGTGGCAAAGATAAATGCCGAAAGGCTGAATTTCAAGACTTACGTATCTAACCAACCTTAACATCCCTCCCTATCCGATCAATTCGGATAAACACTACCACACTATTACTGACCGTACACCCAATATAAGTATCATCATTAACATCAAAGGCGATCCCCATGTATTTAGGATTGCAACTGCCGCCAGGCTGATCAAGTAGGCACCTTCCTGAATTTGAATCGAATGATACGCCGCCACAGTCGCTGTTCGTTATCAGGCTACGCAGCAGTCGTAGAGGGTGTCGGTCATGAGGGTGGTGTAGGGGTCTTGGCCGCGCACGCAGGCGAAAGGCGCATCGGAGATGTAGTATCCGCATAAAGTGGTCTGGAATGGCGCTGCGGGTTAGCTCTGCTTGTATAGTCAAGGTGGAAAAGACTTGGCTCTGGTACAAGGGTGATGGTTGAGAGGTCAGAAAGACGTACGAGGAGGTTCTGGTCGCTGCAGGCTGCGCAGACCGTTGCCGTTCCGCTATTGGTGGTCCTGCGCATGATTCGAAGTCAACATGTGGTTCTTGAAGGGAAGTAATAGACACGCAAGAGAAATCTAATCACTGCGAATCTCATTATGCCGCGAGTTTTATGTACGTAAGCGTGCAGGTCAGGCTTGAAGTGATCACCAGCAAGGTGGTCACAGTATTGGTGGTCGAGGCAGGTACAAGAGTCACCGGCATCAGTGTAGTCTTTTGAAGTTCATCCTCTTGAAAAGTAGACATGGAGTAGAGATGTGCTTGCCCATCGGATCTATGGGACGGCCGCAAGTTGGTACCAGTCAAGGAGGTGTGATGCGAGATTTGTGCTCACATGACGAGGAAGTGAATTGTCGCGGCTATTGTCTTTGTCACTATGGAAGCTGTACCAGTCTTACTGGAAGTCGCGCCCGTGACGATCTGTGTAATCGTCGTGTCAATATATCGATTAGTACGCCTCATGTCACTGCAGAGGGGTAGCACTTTTCGGAGTCAGTGGTAGATGGTTCGTCCCAGCGGAGTGCTGAAGCCCGTTGGGGTTCGTAGTACCGCATGCAGCGAGAGCGTCTTTCTCTTGTACTGCTGGAATTCTATGCTTCTTCTTCTTCTTCTTCTTCTTCTTCTTCTTCTTCTTGGTGTACATGCTATCTGAGGCATACTGTATGATTTTAGAGTCAGCGCTTTTGAGGCCAATGATGAGTGAGTTGGAACTTGCAGCAAATCCGTCAGAAGTGGTAACGGTACTGGTCGGAGTTACGGTGACATCAACAGTAGCCATAGATACATCAGTCACAAGGATCAGAAAGGATTACATACTGAGCTCTAGGAGGTTTCCCAAAAGAATCGCTGAACTCTACATTACTTCCCATGCGCACAATAAAATCGGAAAAGAGACCGTGGGAAAGAAACACATCCAACATCTACTTCCTGAATCTTGAAGCGGTTAAGGTCTGGGTCACTGTCCACCAACTTTGTGGACGTACAAGAAGCGGCCAATGGTTGTTTTGTATTGACAGGGATGCTGGTGCTGACCACTGAGCATGCGTCGTAGTCGTCATTGTTGTTGGCACGGAATTGACAAAAAGCGGGTCGTAATTTGTCAAGCAGACTTCAAAGATCGGATTCGTTGATATGTGGAAGGAAAGCAACGGTATCGCACTAGAAGCTGATGTCTGCGAAAGTGAGCTTTCACCTCTTGTCTTCAGAAGGTCTGTTTTTGTCTCTAACAGACTCCACGCATGCCAATAGGCATTCCGAAGAGTATGGCTTTCTGTCGGCGAATTTGTAACAAGGTCTCACAATGCCCGACACCGTCTTATGCAGTGACCTAAAGCTAGAGATACCGAGATTGCGGAGAAATAATAATTGGTGATAGAATACGATTTATCAATAAGATGGCCAGGTTCTGCCGAGCACAATGAGCATTGTCCCATGGCTGCAAATCGAAGCACTTTAGTCTGGGGACAACGACGCCATTACCTCGAACTCAGACTGAGATGTACAGGTCAACAGTCAGCTTAGCAGATTCCTTGGACTTTGAAAGATCAGAAACTTGACGGAAGAGTAGGAAGCGATAGGATTTGAGGAACCCCTGAAAAGCTGGACTTTAGTTGGAGAAATCCCGTCTACTAGTAGCCCCATTGAACTTAGCGGATCTCACCAGGCTTGGCACGCTCGTCGCTACATTCCATCCTCGAACACACGCCTCCTCATCAAGTCCACTCTCAAGCTCCACAAAGTACCCGCCAGATGATATCCCAGATTGTGCCATCTTCTCCCACACCCGGCGGACGAACGCATCTCATTCCAGGACAGGGAGTAATCCCGTATCAGCTTCAGCCTCAGCCTCAGCAGTCCATCGATGTCTGACTAAGACAGAAGGGTTGGGGATTTCGGCAATTTCCGACTTGGTCAAAGGAACTAGCCGTGCACGCAAAGATCACTCGGTGCAGTGTGCGGGCAGCCGCGGGAAAATTGTAAGTAGACAGTATCTGCCTTGGAAAGACCGGCAGAGCCGAGCTGTTGGAAGCTATCAACGCTACGTATGGATGGTACGAGGAAGCGCAGGTCTGCTATGTGTACGTAACCGCCGTTGTCAGTGTGTTTCTGCAGAGATCTCTGTAGGAAATAGATCTGTGGGAGTTTTAGGCTTTAATGCATGTGATACAGAAAGCCTAAGTCCATAATCCAATTTATTTTAAAGTTACAAAGCATCGTACCGTACAATTTCGAAGCAAGAAGAGAACGAAGGAACAGTCCGTTATACCGAAATCGCCAGTACTTAATCCAACACTTTCCTTAGACCCAGACGCGTTGTACAGCTCCTCAAGCGAGGGAGAACATAAGAGATGAAGGAGCGACGATGTTAGACAGACCATCGCTATTTTTATTCAAATCAGCAACTCCTCCGAAATTCCTCCCGCATTGCTTGTATTCGTCCACCTTCTGCAGCAAAGAAAACGTAAAGGAAGGGCCTGTGTTACATAATCCGCACTTTTCACCCCCACCACACCACAATCTCCTGCACAGCCTCCACGGCCCCCATGGCCCCCACTTCCCCATGGGCGCCTAACCCAATTTCTTAGGATCACCGCACTTGTGCCTGCCATCAGGCTGCAAGTCCGTAGGCGTAGGTTTGAGATTGCTCTCAAAGATATCATTCGCAATACCGATTCCCAACGGGACACCGCCAATCGGGAACTGCTGACCAGGCCTATCGCGCCTGGGACCCGTGGTCACGTATCTGATGTCTTTAGCATTCTTATACTGGCTCGTGCCATTGGGATTGACATTTGTGGACACGAGGATGTCCTTGGACGCAAAAGCGTCGAAGCGCCAGTGGACGCCTAGGAAGACGCGGCTGAGGGCTGCGTCGAACATGGCGTCCCAGACGCTGTCGAAATGGCGGGGAACCAACGTGCGGACGTTGCCGAGCTGGTCGGTGATGGGCTGGGATGGGATGTAGTCGTTGTAGAGGTCGCGGCTGATGCCGTTGAGTTCGTCGGAGATCAAGTCGAAGGAGATGTCATCGGGGGCGTCGTCGGCGAAGGGAAGGTTGTCACGTCTCTTGTAGTACAAGCGGAGGATTTGGAAAGAGGCACCGGAGAAAGTGGCGTGGCCGGAGGGGTAGGACGGGAAGGGGGGCTTGAAGTTGAAGTGGTTGCTGTTGGTGTCCGGAGCACCCTCTGTGAACCAGAAGGGGTCTGCCGCGGAAGTCGGATCGAAACGGACGCCGGACAAGGGACGCCAGAACTCGAAGCAGTATTTCTCTTGCCAGGCGAAGATTCCCGCGTCGGCCAGTGCGGTGTTGAAGAGAGCAAAGACACGCACGAAATCTGCGTTGGTCGCTTCGTCCGTTGGCCCCGCGACTTTTCTCTGCCAAGCGAT